AGAGATCAGCAGGTCGTGATCCACTGTGTCAAATGCAGCAGTCATATCTAGAAGTATAAGCACTACGTGTTTACCACAGTCCGTCGCTTCCAGAATATCGTTCATAACCTTTATGAGAGCTGTCTCTGTGTTATGAAACGGCTTAAAGCCGGACTGAAAAACTTCAAACATTTGAGAGTTATTTAGATAATATGAACTTGTTCTAACTGAAACTATTAGTTGTACATACAGATCATCTGTTTTTACCGTTTCCCCCTCCTACCAGATCCTGTACAACAGAACAATGGTCCAACTTGGCATTTGTGCATTTAGGCAGGGCATGATTAAAGATGCCCACAATGCACTGCTGGACATTCAGTCCTCTGGCCGTGCCAAGGAGCTGCTGGGTCAAGGTTTGCTCATGAGGAACATGCAGGAGAGGAATGCAGAGCAGGAGAAGATTGAAAAGCGAAGACAAGTAAGTGCTGTCTGACCAGAGCAGTTAACTCTAACTAACATGTTGGTTTCTCTTGACGATGACCTGCTTGTAACCTGGATTTACTCCGTGAGTGAATTTTTGGGCCTCTCTCTCACAGCTGCAGTTCATGTGCACTTGGTGACTAGTTACTTTTGTGTTTTCCCTAATTGGGCCTTGACATTTGTGACCTCATGTTATTGTGCCAACTATTCCATGGTGTCTCCAGCTGCCTGTGTCCACAATAGTGTGAAATCAAGGATGTAATGAAACGACAAATGTTTGGGTCTTTATTTTTAAAACACTGATGTGTCAGACATCCATTACATGATACACACATGCATCGTGACGTTTATCCTCCCTAATAGGTGCCGTTCCACATGCACATCAACCTGGAGCTGCTGGAGTGTGTGTACCTGGTGTCAGCTATGCTGCTGGAAATACCCTACATGGCCGCCCATGAGTTTGATGCCCGCCGCCGGATGATCAGCAAGCAGTTCCACCACCAGCTCAGGGTCGGGGAGAGACAGCCCCTGCTAGGTACGAAACGCATCACGAGAGCTCTTTGTAGCAGGATGTTTCATCCACAGAGAGGATAACCACATCTTTATTTGTCCTCCAGGACCCCCAGAGAGCATGAGGGAGCACGTGGTGGCAGCCAGCAAAGCCATGAAGATGGGAGACTGGCGT